GTCACTAATGCTACAGGCGGCAACTACACTATCCGAGCTCGGGCAGACCGCAGCTTCAACCTGTCTTTCCCCAGTTCTCTGGACGCAGGGACAGAGGGAAGTGCTCAGGAAACCGTAACACTGACTGCACCCTCCGACACAGAGTCAGGGACGGATGTCACACTCACTATTGAAGCAGAAGATTCAGAGTCTGGTGACTCAAATTACGTGGCACTGCGGTTCACTGTCATGACTAAGGTAACTGTTATGAAAGCTGCAAACAAGAGTATATATTATTAATATTTACCATCCACTGAGGAGAATATATAGCTTTTTGCAACACTCTGCCTTTGCACTGCCTTTGTTTTTACATGCAAACAGTATTAGCATTTTATCCCTTCATTGACTCTGATTAACCTCATTATTTTTTTTTTTTTTTGGAACTGTCAGGTAGTGAGCATCAAAGCTGATTGTCCTGTAGAATGCAGCAGAGCATCATGGGAGCTCTCTACCAACTTAACGGATGGTAACGGTACAGGCATAGCCGGAGTGTCCCTCAGTCGTGGCAATGGCTCTCTCAGCTTAAGTAATGTGATGAGTGTGGATGGCACAAATGTGACTGTGGCTTTCTACAATGCTTCCTGTTGTTCTCAGGAAGTAGAGCTTGTAGCTGTGGACAGGGTGGGAAACGTGGGCACATGTTTCACCTCTATAAAGAGCCCTTCTACAACTGTTAGCCCCAATGGATCATATTCTGTGTCCTTCTCCATGTGTGTTGCTCTAGTAGGGTTATTAGTTTCCTTTCTGTATGGATGAGGGGAACTGTAATGATGAATTAAGTGAACATTTTTCCATTATCTTTAACTTAATATAACTATGTTCTCACTATCGTTGATTATCTTTTATAAACTGCTGGTAACGACTTTACATTTATGCCCTACCTCCTTATCAGTAATAATAGAAAAATGCTCTTATGAATAGGGGAAGGTGGGGAAGATGCCCTGCTTAAGAACAATGTGGATTTACTTATTTAAAACTGTTTCATGGTCTCTGTAGTTTGTAAGGACCATGCAAAACCGTTCTAAATCCAAACAGTTGTAGGAAATTAAATCAAACTTCTTTCTATGCCAAGCTACTCTCTTTTATCTTATCTGACATTTAAAGTTTCATTTGATTTGAATTCTTATGACTGACCGGCACGTTTTGATGCAGGCATGTTGCTGGGTCAGCATGTTTTGTTGGTCCTGGAACAACAATCCTGTCAAGTTATAACCCAAACCCTAATCAAAACCTTACACTTAAACTAGAAGAAATGTATAGATTGATAACAATGGTGTACAAGTCTCTAACCTGGCACTAAGCTTAACCCTAACATTAGGTTTAACCCTCACACCTGAAATGATATCCTTCTTCATTCAAGTCTTCTTTGTAAAAGGCGGTTAACATTGCACATTGATGCCATATGTAAAATGATACAAATATACAAACTGAGCCTGCAAATGCTATGATATTTTCAGGCAAACTACAGGGTAATATCATTTTTCAACCCCCCCCACCCCACACAAACACACACACACACACACACACACACACACACACACGTACGTTGGTAAAGGTGTTGATCACGTGCAACTTTGTAAGCCAATCATTTTCGAGAAGGCCTCATCTCCGTCCTGTTGCAATAAGAGCCTTGCTGCCATCTAGTGGTCATTACAGGAACAAAGGTAAGAGGAACAATACATAGCTCGACATACGATTATGCAGTTTAATAAAACAGCATATTTAGGATTATGGATATGTTTTGGGTTTACGAAGTTCTTATAATAAAGAGAACAGAAATTTGCATATTTGGCAATCTTGCAATGTCCTGGTGCTGTTTTGAATGAATGCACATTTAGAAGAAGAAAAGTGGAAAAACACGTACACAAGCACCTTTGCTTCTGATTTGTTCTAGTCTTTCAGATGGTTTCTGGTTGATCCGCAGCACTGGCTTTTTTTAATAGATCAGATTAAAGGACGATTTTATTTAACTAATGAACGAAGTGCTGAGGGACTAGATGACCCCATTTAGAAGGAAACCTCATGGGACAGGGCAGTCAGTGTGTTTATGTCCCATCTACTCTTCTGCAGCACATCCAAACAAACCTCCGTCCTCCACCCCCATTCTCTCTCCCTCACATTTCTCACAGCAAGGTTGTCTCACCCCTGAAGATGAGTAATGGCAGTGTCATAGTGACACTTCTCCATTCATCATAATCAGAAGATAGCGCACCAAAGCAGCACAGCACAAAAGAAAAACATACCAAGAGAAGGGGAGTGATTCATTAGAGTAAGATATTAAACAACGCTCTTTAGCATATGTGCCTTTAATTAGGATATAAAGACACCCACCATCTGTCTCTCTGCCATTTTCTCCTCCTGGGTTTTATTCAAGCAAGCAACAAGGTACATTTTCTATTTCTTTCATTTATTTTGTATTTTCTTTCTGACCATAATGACTAACTCACGGTATAGGCAATATTTAATTTTTCACAAATGAAAACGAGACTGTGATGAATAGATACACAGTCTACTCAATTTATATTGTCTTATGGTCATATCGTGTGTAAATTTCAGTTGTCAGACAATTTTAATGTTGCCTACAGCCCACTGAACCGTTTAGCCCCTTACTGCCTCGTTTTCATTAAATAAATATATATACAGGTGCATCTCAATAAATTAGAATGTCATGGAAAAGTTCATTTATTTCAGTAATTCAACTCAAATTGTGAAACTCGTGTATTAACATATGGTGCCTACATTGACTTTAGCCCAGACAGTTCGACACCGGTTGTTCTATCTTCTGTTAACCTTGTGTTGCCTTACTTTGTTCTCCTTTTCTGGAGTTTCTTTCTTATATATTTTAATAAACAGATTAAACTTGTGCTACAGTCTTTCGTTCTATCAATTAAATTGCAGAGACATATTTTAACGAGAACATTTTTAATGATCGATCTCTTTAATGTATTTTTTTCTGAAAAACAAATCTTTGTAACTCTCTGGCATTACCATTTACATAATTCTGTACATGAAAAAGGAAAAAAAGCACTGCTTTAGATACAGAGTAAAATTTTAAAACTAGAAAAAACCTTCAAAATAAAAATTAGAGGAGGTTTACATTACAAATTAGTAGTAAGACACTGTCTGAAGTGCAATGGTATAGCTCAGATGAGTTTAAAAGTGAAAAAAAAAAGAAATAAAAATACTTCTCTATCTTAAACAAACAGCAATATCTTTACAGTGAGTAGAGACATATCCTCTGATGTATTTAAAATAGTAAAAACATATTTACAAATAACTGTATCTGATATATATATCTTTTTCCATCACATATATGTCAGCACCAGTACGAAATAAAAAGAAGAAAAAGATCAGCTCGATGACTTCAACAGAAATCAAAAACATGTTAATCTTGGTCCCAGATTGTTGATATTTGGTGAGACGGCAGGAGGACCTGGGCTTTACCCTCTCCATCTGCAATCCTCTTGACAGAGCAACATAACACTGCAAAACACTGAAGATGTGAATGCGTTCAATCTCCCATTAAGACAAAACTTTCTCACAAAAAAAAAAAAAAAGGCAAGTCAGTCACAATGTTACATTCATGTTCATTCTTCAGAGAGCGGAAACGATAAAACTAGAGTTTGATTACAAAGACACCATGACTATAATACCATAATACCGTAGCAACACACAACAGAGCAGAAAAGATAGATGTTCTTATTTGTGTGGCATCTCATGGTAAACAGCAGAAAACTAAAGTCTGGCTAGTAAGATACCATTTTGAGACTTCATTTAAAATTAGTTGACAAACTCACAACAATGGTTCATAATCAGGGTCATAAATAAATGTATATTCTCAATAAAGAGAAAATGCCTTTATTAACAAATTAAGTCGATTTTTGTTTTTGTTTAAATTTTGTCACATTTGAAAGAGTTGAAAAGTTGTCTGCAATACAGTTGGCTTGATGGAGTCTTGATGTGCTTGTTTTTCCTCTGTCAGCCATTGTGTAGCAGGTAAAGGAGTGTCAGTGTGTTCAAGAGCTGGAAGTGGTGCAATGATTGAAATTAAACATTACAGAAACTAATAAATATTTGTAATTTGAAGAGTAAAATAAAAGATTAAAAGTGGTATGACCCATGAGCGGAAATACAGTACAGTATGTACGGTGTATTTTTTTCTTATTAAAATATCTTCAACCAGTGTTCGTAAGCAATAATGTTCAGCTAAAGAAAGGAGAAAAAAAACAGAATGTTGGGAAGCATTTAAATATTGGTTTAAATGTCTAGATGTATGAATTAAAACACTGAATTTGCCTCAGATTAAATGTCTGGGCAGTTAAAATGGCATCATAAATGTTACTTTGATACTTGATGAGTTCATGTCCTAGTTTCCTTTCTAGCTGCCATTGTGACTAAAGAAAACATCTTTCTCACAGTTTTAGGGAGGGGAGGGAGAAGTTTGTAGCTGCCAAATCTCTTCAAGCAATATTAACAAACACCTAGTTGACAAACACACACATGGCTTCACTCTTCTACTGACACCAGTCGCCTAGCGACAGCAGAGCATCCATCTTGCATGCACTGAGAGCACACAGAGTCTGATGTGTTTTGTTGTGATGCTCATAGTGCAAATAAACACACACACACACACACACACACACGCACACACACACACGCACACACAAGCACAAAGCAGAGCAAATGCAGAGGATGAACACATGTCAAGAGCAGCGAAAAATGGAGAGAGAGAAGATAAGTAAGAGAAGAAAGAGGTGTGAGTGAACTGTTTGGTTTGGGAAAAGGGATCCATTGTTGATAAAGGCCCACCTCGAATTTCCACACACTCTTT